TTTTTATTAGTAACCCCCCAAAATATTGTGAACGAGATACAATCCAGGTTGCTTTTTTTAATCTGGATAATTGTGTGGGTTTTTTTGACATTTTCCTTACCAGTACCAGCAGATGTTGCCAAATAACTTCTGCAGACTCACCCTTTTCCACAGTTATTTCAGAAAATTGCAACAGCACTTACAGAGACACAAGCTATAATCATCCTAAAGGACAAGTCCCTGCCTGGCACTCACCTCGTTACGTCTGTGTCAAGTATTGTGGTAAATGGAGTCCTTGCAATATTCTTTCATAGCATGTGCACTTGAAATCTAATGGCTTGTGGCTGTATTTATAGGTACACATATATGTGTAAATAATTGTGTATACAGGGAGAGAGATGCACACTCACATATACTATATGTGTGCCATTCTCAGAAATGCAAAAAGAAAAACAAAGTGGAAGAGCAAGAGAACTATGAAATTGGACACTGAATGGGTGCCTTACAGCTGGGGCTTTTGGTTTCTGCCACATTTCAAGTACCAACCCCTAAAAGGCAGGTTGGGGGAAGAAAAAGAGTCTCATTATAGAGTCCCAAAAGATTCCAGAGGATACAAATGAAGCTACTCTTAATTATTTTCATTTTGTAAAATCTTATTTTCTAGCATAACAATCATCTATTTTGCAAGAGGTATGTTAGCAGTTTGTCAGCATCAACCTGTGTATTTTAACCTTACTTTCTCTACCAGTCTCTTAGAAGATGTGGATTTTCCTGTCATTGGGGCTGAGACTGAAAAACAAGTGCATTAATGATTAAATGCAAAGAGTATCTTTATCACAGTTCTCACTCTTGAGGCACTGTATCAATCTGCTTTCTGCCCTTAAGTGGTGTGCACCTTACTCCACGCTAACTCTCTGAGCTGGCTTGAGCCCTGTACATTGCTTTCACCAGCCTTGGAAAGGCATCCAGGACTTTGGGAGAGATCTGTTTGAGATTCATCCCTTGTGCATATGCGCATTGGAGGCAATTGCATTGCGTATTTGTAGCTAGGGTGGTTGACAGGTTCAAATGTCTTACAAGGAAGAACATAAACATAACAGCATTGGGCAGTATTCAGAACAATGAATTCATGTTGGTTTTATGTCTGGTTACATCAGGGGTGGTTTGGCCCAGAAACAAAGTCCTTACACTATAACTTCCCCAGATGGGATCCCCTTTCCAGGCTCCTCACTTAAGCACTGGCATGAAGAAGAGGCATCTCTGTGCTAACAAGGAGGACAGGAGAGAGTCTGGGTGAAGCACGGATCCCCTGTCTCACCCGTGGCGTCTACCTCCAGGCGCTTAAGCAAGGTGCCTAATAACGGGCCTCATCATCCCAGGGTTCCTGTACAGGGAAGAGAGGTAAGCTGTTTCTCAGCTATGGAGGTACCCATCTCTTTTGGTTAACTAGAGATCTAAAAAGACAACCCTGCTGAGCAACATGCTCCTTGAAGTGCCCAGTACTAAGTGGGATGACATGAGGCCCTAAGACACAGCTGGTTTTCATGAAGACAGGTGAAGTGAGAGGAAAAGGAGTTGGTGGGAAAAGATTTCAAGCCTGAGAGAACGTAGGGATTGCCCAGCAGGATGGTCTTAGTGCTCTTTGGCACTCTCGCCTCTTTTCACTTCCAAGGTGTGAGTCTACAAGTGGACCGAAAGTGCGTTTACAGCTAAGAAAGCAGAGCTTTTATGGTTTGTCTACTGTAGTTAACAATCATAAGGCTGTATATGATTGTACTGGAAATAAAAGTCTAGTGTTGCATCCGAAGTAATTATTATAAAAGGCTATATACAGAAACAAATTCAATTGGTCAGCCCTACAGAAAATGATTTAAGGCATTTTACACAAAAAATATTGGGCTCTGTGAAGCCTATTTCACAAATGTATCAAAATGATTGTAAATATTTTTCTATTTATGTCCATGGTACATAAGTTCTCTGAAGTTATGAAGCCATAAAGAATTTCCTTAGAAGTCAAAACTGTGCCTTGCTACGCTGCTATATATACACACACTGCCATATGCTGCTACATACTCTATCTTTGTAAGTAGTGCTTGGAGATGGGAGATCTTGGGATTTTCTTTAGCTTTCATTTTGATTGGAACTCTTCCAAAACCAAAACTGTACCATTTAGTTTCAGGTATGATCTATAAACAGGATCTGTAGGTTGTTTTTCTTTTTGTCAGATCAGGATGAAATGCTAAAATTGTATCAATAGCAAAGCAAGTTTAATGTTTAATGATATTTTTTTCAACCCAATCCTATTTCTGTCTAAAACTGATTTTATTCTAAACTTGACTTGCATTCAAATATTCCCCCATCAATTCACATTTAACTATGTTAAATACTGATCTAGAAATGCAGTGTCAAAACCAGAGCTAACAATTTGCATGTTTTCAAGCAATGTTCATATGCCTGGAGTGGTAAAATTCTAACAAACATGTATAAATATCAATTGATACCCAAATGAAGACATCTGACCTACTTAAAAAACAACCTTTCTTTGAATTTGATAAATGTAACAAAATTGCTAGTGGAAACTAAATCATATTGCTCACGAACAAAACAAAGTAACTTGGGACATGTTGGTATATAAATGTCCATCGACAGATATAGTTTGATGTCCCTGAACATCTGAATGCAAATTCTTCATCTGCAAATTTGTGTCCAGATTATGTAAAATTTGAAAAGAAGCTACAGAATATTTTGGAGATGCAAATGCTCCTTTCTCCCCCCTCAAGTACATGTACATATTCACAAATTGTTTACAAAATATTCCTGCAGCTTCATACTCAAATAATTGCATAAAGCTGAAACCTGAACAACTCTGATTTCTCTTTGGACAGATTTTTAAGACTTACCACCCTTTTGTAGCTTTTACAAGCAAATTAAGATTGAGCAACTATTTCAAATTAGCCTGTGATATCTAAAGATTGAAAGAGTTAATCTGTAGTTACGTTGCATCCCTGTAACTTAATATACACATAGCCAATGTGAAAGTAAATCAAATGGAGCTTGGAATGTTAAAATTAAATAAAAGGAAAAAAGAAAATCCAACACCAAACCTCAAAACAATCAATTCCAGAACCGATACAAAATGTTTCCTGATGTTGTTACCTGTTCACTTAATCTTGCCATAGAAAATCCATAAATTCTTTGCCATTGGCCTTGCTGGCTCAACAGCATGGCAGGTAATAACAAAACAGAAACCCGCAGCAGAACATGTTTAGAATAGAAAACAAAAGCTAAAAGTGGGGTCTGATAAAGCCTGAAAACCCTCCACAAAATAAGTAGAACTAATCTCTTTCTTGCTATATTGCTATATCCTCTGTTTGAAAACAGAAGCATTAAGAGCTACCAAAGCCAGAGAGATCTGGGGAAGGAAGACAGAAAATCCAGTGAGTTAAAAATGACTGAAAAGGCAGTTTAGCCTGGACAAGAAAATGGTCATAGGGGCACTGATGACTGCAAGACGGATGGGACGTGTGGCACACAGGAGGAGAGCGAGACAGGAAGCTTTAGTTAGAAATGTTTATCATCAGGAAATATGTATTTGCCAAAAAGGACTTTTAAACATTCATTTTGAAAGTTTTTTCAGGCTCAGGATGATACTTTGAGGTGAGTAGTGATGAGACAGGGGAGAAGAAAGAGCATAGCCCACCTGTAACCTTGTGCTTGGGGTATTTAGTGGAATATGGGAGACTTCTAAGAAACCTTGGCTGAATGACTGAAGTTTGGGCATTCTCCAAAGCCCCGTGAGATATATCTTCAGGCTTAAGAAGAAAACTTACTAGGTCCATAATGGAATTGAGAAATTTTTATGAGAGATGTGAAGGACTTTTGTGCCTAAATAATGTATATTTTAGGAAAAAGGATCTACTGACACATGGAAATCTGTTTTAGATAGTAAGTTCTTCACACACTGAAAGATACAGAATTAGCCAGCATACCTGGAAACTAAGAGAGAGAAACCTTGCAGCAAACTATAGAAACACCACTCACTTGTGAAGCAATATTTGGGCCCTTGCTATGTTCACAAGTGGATGGTTATAATTGGATTACACAGAAAGTTTACTGACAGTAGGTCGAAAGGAAGAGCTGGACACCTGTGAGGAGCACCACCTATACCTTGTGTGATTTTATTGTTAATCCCTCATGATCATATATCTGCTGGGTCTCACTGTGGAGTCACTGCTCCCTCACTTGTTCCTCAGTTGTCTCTCTAACCATTCTGGAAGAACGAACTCCACTGTTGACAAGGGACAACTTGAATGCCCAGAAGGCTCCTTGCTTCACAGAACTCTCTAAATGGCTAGCCTCTCACTTTGAAGAAGGCCAATTTCTTTCCAACTTCCCCAACACTTGAAACAGAAAGCTGTATCCTTCGGAGTTTTTTTCAAGGAAGAAAATCATACTGATTTCTGTTTTAGAGGAAGTAGATTTGTCTTCCTTGGAAATTTGCTGTTAAAAGGTCTTCAGAGATACCGACAGATGGTACACCATATATCTAAGATAAATGGTTGCCATTCTGTACCTCTTTTTTGCTAATGATGAATGGATACTCTCTTTCCCTACTCCCTCTTAAGAAAAAAGACAACTTCCTTTGGTAACACAGCTGTTCTGAGTTTAATAAAACTACACCCCTGGATGCTGCCATGTGCTTGAAGTTTTAAGCCTCACAGAGGTGCCAGGATAAAGGATGCATAATCAGAATTGTAAACTATGTAGTCAGTTTAATAAAAAAAGTAGTAAGTACTGTAAGTGAACACTTCATGTTATGTTGGCAAATTACCTTCAGGCGATTGGTTATATTGGTCAGCAGATGTGAATAGCATAGCCTGCTGGGAAATGTTCTGATTGAATTAATTTGATATCATCTCTCTTGATTGATGCTAGAATTTTACTTTCTCCATGACATTTCCTATGTTGTTTAATATATGAGAAAATGGTTACTATCATGTTGTTTATCTTTCTATGTGCCCTATTACTATGATACTCAGGTCTTTATCATTGTTTTATCAAAAAGGGTCATAATTACACAAGTTGATGCAATTCTTGCAGTCCATGGGAGTAGCTATAATGGAAACATTACCCCGTTCAGTGCATCACCTGCCCTAATTTTCTTGGAAGTAGTCATTGCTGCATCTATTATATTTTGACAAAATTATCTCAGCCCCACAGGTAAGACTTAGCCTTTGCCTGTTTAATTTCACTTTGAAATTACAGTTTTTGCAGTTTTATGTAATATTTCGCTGTTGTTTATTCTTTCTCATCTAGCAAGTCTGAACATTTATGGGTTAATATAGTAAATATAGCTTTGTGGTCTTTGAAATGTGGATTTCTTCTTAACACCTGAAGCCTGTTCAGATATTTGTTTCCATAATGCAATTTGTAGAAACCTGATTTTCCCAGCAGAATCACTCTATAATTTTCTGTATTCAGTTTTAATGGATTATCTCTGGAAGTAAATTAAAAACAAAAACCACAACTTGCTTCAGTGCTCTACTTTATTTTTCATGTTAAAGTAATAGAATTCTAGGTTAATAAGTATAGTTACATTTGATAATGATTCAGAGTTGATTAGTAAACTGAAGGCAACTGCTGCCTGCTGAGACGCTGCACATGCAGTCCACCTCCCAAGAACAGCTCTAGTTCACAGACATTTTGCATGGAAGTAAACTAGTTCACACATCTGTGGGAATCATTCTTCCTAAAAATCCCATAGAACTGAGATGATTTGTATGTCTGAGGCTCAGATTTTAGGAGTTTTCCATGGGCAGAGCTCTGCGATGCCTCTTAGGGAACTGTGATAGATCAGCCCTTACCCAGAACCTGAGACACATGTTCCTCTGCTCTTCCTCTTTAGCAGGAATATCTACCTTCTTCTTTTTTTTTATTTTTTTTTCTGATTATCTTTCTTGAAATGACAAAGTTTAGCCAGAGTTCAGGCAGTCTGCACTGCAATTACAGTGGTGTGTACTGAGTCATCAGAAGGAAAATTTGCAGTTCACTGAACCCTAAAAATCTGGGGATGATGCAAACACAATTCAATTAATATTAAAATGGAAAACCTCACAGGGGTCTACAGCACTGGTTATTTTATTAATTGCATCTATTTTTTAATAGTGTCCACTTAAAAAGAATATATAATGTCAAGAAGCGGATTGCACACATAAAAGGTTTACACAATCGAAAGATTTTTTCTTAGGACTTAGGTACTCTTTCTTGAACAGATAATTGTCTTCTTTATCATTTATTCCTTTACCAGCTGCTAACAGAAGAGAAATATTTAAATTGTGGAACACCAAAAAATTACCTTAGAAGAAGAGTTACTGAATGCAAAGGATGTGCAAATAGAAATATTGGAAACCATGCAGATTCTCACATTTATGAACATGAATGCTTTTTCTTTTCTTTCCTTCATTCCCAAATTCATTTGCTCTGTAGATTTAATAGCTCTCTTAATCTCAGAAAAATGCAATGTATGAAGACAGTATTCAGCCTTTAGGGACTATTAATGAAATGTATGCCTAATACCTCATGCAAAGGCATCTCTCTCTCCTGACAAGATATCACCATGCATACTAGGAAACTAAGAGGGGAAATAATATGGAAGACATAAATTTCTGGCAGATCACCCACGAGACAATCACGTTCCAGCAAAGATTGGTCTTGTTTATTGTTTCACCAGCAGTTTGTAACATGCAGTCCAAGCAAAGCAAGGCCCCTCCTGCAAGCTCCCTGAGGGAAAACAGCCTTCATCAAACCCCCTAGTTTTTAGGTATCCCTCTTACTCCTTGCCTGCAAGTCCCTGAAGGTGCACAAACAGCTGAGAGCACTGTGGATACCAGTTTGGCTGCACCAGCTGAAAACTGTCATTGGATCACCTAAATGTTGACTGAAGCTAACAGAGACCCTAGGAGTCCATCCAGGAGCTTCTTAACCAGCAGTGTAGAGCAAGTGCAACAGAGGACTTGCCTCAGAGGGCTTGGACTTTGTTACCTGTTGCTAAGCTTTCAGGCCCAGAATAATCAGAAGGAAATAGTATTTGTTGCCACTGAATACACACACAAGGTAATAAATCAAAATGACACTCAACTTCACCTGAAATAAGGTTGCTGAGGAGGAGAAGTGGAGAAAGGATGTGTGTATGGATAGAAAGAGGTGGACCAGAGAAGAGTTTGAAAGGACTCTCCTTGAAGAAAGCTGCATGTGCAAGTTCAGGAAATTAAAATATCCTCTGCTTGGTACCTGCTCTACCAGGGCCAACAAAAAAAGGCTGTGAGAATTGCTTTAAACTCTGCTGTTTAACATCCTGAAGACATTAAATGCTGAATCACAAGATCTGCTCTAGAGGGAACCATCAGAGAAGGAGGAAGTACTGCCACGGCCTCTGTAAGATGTGTGAACTGAACACCCAGCCAGCAACTCCTGCACACTAGGCTGTGCCCAGAAGAATAGATCATTATACTTTAAAGTAAACAAGCAAATGGGAAAAAAAGGAATGGATACAAGTGGCTCAAAATCTATGTTTTTTTGTTATTAGACATAGTATCTAGACAGTCTGGAAATACTTTGTGGCAAAAGTGCTTCAATATACTTTATCCTAATGTGCTGTGTGTTTTCTATTTTAATTTCATGTCTAAATCGATAGCTAATTATAATCTGAGAAGAAAACAAGATTGCAATGGATATGATCTACCTGCTCTGCTGTTAAATTGTAATGTGGTTGGCTGGCTGTATAGTGTTACCACAATTTGTCTATGCCATTTCCAGAGTCGCTATAAGAATCAGGAAATAAATTTCTAGCAAATCATTTCAACACCATGCAGGATTTTCCCAGAAGCCCTTTGTTTGTGGCTGATGGAAGGTTTTGATATCTAACTCTTGACACTCAGTTGTCCAGCTTCCATCCTGGGTCTTATGACCAGACACAAATTATGGAAATGCTGTCCAGGACCATAGTTATTTACGCAGTGATTATTAAAGCAATGTATCCTTGAAGAATCTGAGAGTATAACTGCCACCCAAATAACAACCATGTCCTTCTCTAGGCTTATCACACAAACACACATGTACCCCCCATATACACACATTATGAGAGAGTTTTTCTCTCTCATCCTGCAAGCCTGTTAATAAATGGACAACTGGATATGTAAAAAATTCTCTTCTTTGTTTTTCATGCTCACCAGTCATTAAAGGGTTACTTTTCAGAGCAGCACAAAAAAAGAAGAGCTGGTTGACCAAACATTTTTTTTCTTACAAAGAGGTGTCAACCCTGAGCTTGTAATTAAGAAGTTAAAATCTGTGATTTATATATATTTATATATATAAAAATAGATGATCATACTAAGACTAAAAAAGTGAAAGAAATCTCCATGTCAGTACTATATATTTGTTCTGAAATTTTGTAGAAGAAATCCTTGTGACATTGAAATTAACTGATATGAAAGATGTAGTTGAGGTGTGAAACACACTATTGATCCCGTCACTGTTAGTCCACTGGAGAATATCTGTCTTGGTAGGATAATGAACATAGTAGCAGAAATTCCTAATCAATGTCAGAACAGTGACAAAGAGAAGAGATTATTTTCTGTCCAAACCCTTGAGGGGAGGTTTGTCAGGAGCGTTGTTTAGCATTACCACCATGGCTGATGGTGAGCTAAGTGGAAAACTGTGCCAATTGTATAACATGGATAAATCCTAAAAGAAGCTAGTTTAAATCATGCTACTACTCAATTTTTTACTGGGCATTAAGATTTAAATCCTAAACAACTGTAACATGATATTCTGAAGCTAGTGGAGTTACTATCATACTAAAAGATAAACTTATTTTTCAGCTTCTCTACCTTCATACCAATCTGATGTGGTTGGCAGATGGAGTGCAAGACATTCACCGCTGAGACATACTTTTGTGTTGGAAAAAAAATCCAGACTTTTTTCTTAGAGCAATGATCGTTCTGATGACCTGAATCATCCTACAGAAGTTCTTAAAGGAAACCTGTCTGTCAGTGAAGAACGGTTGCTTCTTTTTTGTTTTGTTGATATGCTGTTGAAATGCAGCAGCCTTGAGTCAGGCCTGATTCAGAATGAAAACTGTTTTCTTGGTTTCTTCCCCCCTCTTTTTTCTCATTAGGGAAAAACACACACTGTAAGATCCTTTTTTACTTTTGCAGCATAAAAGGAAATGAAGCTCAGTAAGTCTGTAATAAAGAGTTGAGAAATAATTCTCTCAAGAGTGGATAGAGTCTTCAGAGATATCTGAAAAAAGCAGGAAGAAGTTCAGTCTGGCACCTGGTACTCTTTGGGAAAACAAAAAAGGGAAGCAGGTTGCGGTACTGCTCTCTTCTTGTAGAAAACTGCAAGTGTTTGTGGCATGGTCCATTGTCCAAGAGTATAAGAAAAGAATAAAGTTGGCTGTTTCTGTAGCTAAAACACAGTTTCTGTGGCCAGATCCAGGATTATCTCCACTGTCTCTGTAGTACGAGACTGATGAAGATGACAAGCAATGTCTGCAGTGACCACCCAGGCTGTGTGGCTGAAGCCTCCACCTCCCGTCTGTCGGAGTCAACTGGTGGTGCTTCAGTGGTGATGAAATCAAACTCGGTGGGACATATGTCATCTGTACAGCCGCTTCCGCTGCCTGAGCCGCTCGTTTCATCACCTGGCACAAAGGAACAAGGGAAACAACATGAGGGCCATGGGTAACAGGGTTCATTCCTTTTCTCTGTTCCCGTTCCACCCTGTAGGGATGAACACCTTGGAAATGGGAAAGTTTTGGTGATGCTAACTTTCATTCAGTAAAGCATCCAAATGAAAGCCACCATGATTCAATTAGGTACTTAAGAGCTCTTCTGAAAAAGGAGTGGACTGCATTTGACATGCAGCTAAGCAAGACAAGCAAAAGAAACAAATATATAATTGTAATTTCATGGGACAGAATAATAATTTTTTTAATGTTCTCAACAGCGCAGAGCACAAAGACCAAAGAAAGCCATTGCAACAGAACCAATGTATAAATGTGTTCCAAAAATATGCTTATTTAATAACAGTTAATGGTTTCTTACTTGTATCCTGGAAGTTGACATCATTTCCATTATACGCGTTCTTCAGTTTGTTAGTCATGACACGTAAGGCCATGATTTGTTGTCGAATGAAGGTGTCTGGCCTTGTGATGTCCACATCTACTTCTGGATTGTTGATCTGGTTGGTCAAGCCATCATTCATAATCTCAGGCAAGTATCTATATAGCAGGATGAATGACAGTTGAAAATGCATTAAGTTTCAGAAATACAGCACTGCACAGTAAATACTGTGCTGAGCACTTTGATAATGATTATATAGCTCTTAAACAGATCCAGTGAAACCACTTCAAAACACGTTTTTTAATTTCACAGACTCTAAAGGATCTTTTTAGTACCTCAGCTGCATTGAGAGCAGAAAGAATTTAAGCTCTCTAACCTCCTAACCCTGCACATAGTCCACAGCAAAGGTACTGGCTCTGTGAACAACAGAAGAAGTTCAGCAGGCAGGAGTCAGTCACTGCATGTTCATTTCCTCTACCGACATGAACGGCTGCACACTAAATTAAGCATCTAACAATGCATTCTTCTGTTTTTATTTCTTTCTGCTTAAAAAAATATCAACTCCTTTGTTATATTTAGCATATTTGTTGTTCTGAGATAGTTTAGAAGGTTATCTTGAGGCATTATGACTCTCCTTGTTTAAAGAAAGCAATTATTTTTCTCGTTCAGGTCTCCCTTTTTTGACCATTGTGAACAACGTCTCCAGTCTGCATTGTGAATTTACCAAACTCCAGTATACTCTTTGATTTGGTCCTTATTCCTTGCCAATAGGTTGTACTTGCATCTTGCATGTGCTTTGTACATAACATATTAAAGGTATGGCATTTCCTATCTATCTACACATTTGAATTTTTTATTCAGGCTTTTAGCTTATCATTTCTTGATTACTGCATCATTCCCTTCTCTGACCTTGGCAAATGCAGTCTTAGGCTGTTCACAGGCATCAAGTGTGCATTTGCAGGTATCTCTCCCCTGCAAAAATCAGCCCATGCCTCCAATCATCCTGTGATAAAAGTCTTTATCATCTTTTGTTAAATACACACAATTTGTCTCCTGCTGCTCTTTGTCCTCAGGAAACTCTTCTTTTAAGCATCTGCAAAGCTACCTTTTTTCCTGCTTTGAATCGCTGTTAAAATCTATCTGGGCATTTTACAGCTGCTAGGCTGATAAAGGGCTGACATTATTTCTCTGAGCTGGCACGGTGTCCTGGGAAAAGACAGTATCAATGCTTCTGTGCTGTCTCTCATCCGTCTTTAAATACCTACTATCTTTGTCCTATATTTAGACTGCAAAGGATTTGGGGCAGATCTACCATTCCTTCATGTTCTTTATCAGGATATGATCTATTTTGTAATTAGTCTGCATACCAGGCTATCCCACTGATGTTTGTGGAACTCCTTGTGTGGGTATGTGCTCAGGCAGTAATGACAAGCACAGTTTAGCCTACTAACAGAAAACTATCACGATGCGTGGTACCAAATATAGTTTAAGAATATTTCACTTCACTCTCACTTGTGCCAGCCCAATTCTGTCAGTATTCAAATTTGGCATTAGTGCTAGTGTTATTCTCATATTGGCCTGGAAAATAAATATATCCCTTGAAAATAGCCATGATAGTAAGGGAGAGTAAAGGACTTTCTCTGCTGAAGTCATGGTTAAGGGAAAATAAGTTTTGTATTGTTTCTGGAGGTTCAAAAAGTGATGGCTTTGCTGCACCAGGGAAGGCTTTAGTCTTGCTGTAATAGGTCCTGGCTTTGCAAGATGAGACTCATTTGTCATCAGTGGCCTTTGAAAGCTTACATGAAAATAATCCTGGGGGAGTGTGAACATATAAGAACAAAACATGACTGCCAAAAATAGCCAGCCTCAAACTGCATGTCCCATTGTTTCATTAGTACCATAGCGAGAACTAACAATGCTGTAGGCATCTCATCCAGACTCTTGTGGTACAGGTTTAACTATGGTGAGAATACAGATCCACCTCCCCTAGTACTGGGGATTGCAGACCAGAGTGTTATGAATCACCAAAGATAGAAATTGGAAATAATTCTGCAGAGCTGCCTGGAGGCAGCAGGATGGAGACCTTGACATGCAGGGAAGCTCTGGGCTGCAAAGGAACAGTACCTGCATTTGTCACACGTCTCTACAAATGAAATGGCTGCTGCAGATAAATTACTCAGCCTAGAAATAAATCAATGGTATCAAGGTGGAGTTGATTAAAAAAGGTAAAAATGTAAGAATTGCCCTACTGGCTCAGAGAGGATGTCCATCTTGCCCAGTATCTTGTGTATGACAGTAGCCATAGCTGTTAGCAGCCAGAAGTGATTAGAAATCACTGAGTGTTCATGTGGATTGCTTTCCTTGTTTATGAAGGGTTAGCTGCTCTTTACTGCAATCCATACATGAAAAACTATGGCTAGCTCTGAACAGAAGTTCAGAGACTTTCTTTGACTGATTTATGTTTGATTCCATCCTGTCTTATCATCAATAATAAAAAAATAATGTACTGACTTCTTAGTGAGCTTTTTATATGGAGACAATATGAGTTAGTTTGGAGATTTAAAACAATTAGAGAGTGCTGTAGTGTGTGCTTTTTACTGAGGGTCATATTCTGCACTGCCCTCAGTGTGGATCACAGTGTCCTTCTGAAGACCATCTAACTTTAATGGGACTACCCCATCAGTTGTAGGAAGTGATCCATTCAGACTGTCACACCCCCTGCAGTATCGGCCTCAGGATCTGGTGATCCCCAAAGCATTCCTGGCATGGAAGGAGAATGGTCCAGTGATTCTCACATAGGTGTTCAAGGGAACCATACTGGATGTGAGTCAAAAGAAATCCATTACCTTATGATTGCCTAAAGGTTAGGTGGATACTTAAATTCCCAGGTGAATGAGCCTCTTGGCACTTAGAGTATAAAAGCAAAAGTATTTGAGAGGCTGAAGATTCTTCTTTAGGTTTATGCAGGTACCAAAACCTGTATGTCTAAATGTGTCTGCATATGAGCAGAGTCCCACTCTCGTCAGATCGAGTGAACACAAGATCTAGCCAAACCTAGTCAGGAGTTCATTTGTCAGTGGAGTGGGGACAGCTGTGGGAGTCCCACATGCCTTTGGCCAGATGACTCCTCATTAGATTTCACCTGCTGGGATTTAGTTGCACAAACATAGACATCTGGTGCCATTTGAATGCTTTCAGTTATTCCACCTCTTCTCATTACTAGCCCTGAAAGGTGCAGCTTTCTGCATCATATCTCTAGGCTTGAAGGGACGGTCTTGGACATTTGGGGCATCTAAAATTGTATTAGGTATCTTTAGGCAGCTGAATGGGGTCTTGAGTGCCACTTTAGCTACCAGGGTGTATGCTGCTTGGTGTCCTGCTGCCGCTCCAGTAGGGTTTAAACATCCCATAGGTCCAGTGTCTTATTTTTCAGTTCCATGAAGGTGTCTTGACTATTTAGACCATCTCACATAGCAGTAGATAAATGTGTTTAGGCAGTGGAAAACTGCCTCCTTGACGACACTGGCAGGATATTTGGGCTTTCTTCAGGCACACTGACACTAGCGATTATTAAAATACTCAAGCAGTTCTAGCCTAGCCTCTGGTCCAGATGGGAGGTAGTGTCCTGTGTCATATTCACCTCGGACATGCTGGAGAGTCTGAAATGACACTATTCTTACTTGAGCAACACAAATGACTCCTTGTCTCACCAGTATTTAAGTGCATGAATTTACATATCTGAATGTGAAGCTGGATTCTGTCCTCACCACTGAACTAGTTCACCTGCTCCTTCAGTGGGGAAAAAAGGCAGAAAAGCCAATATTGTATGTAAGTATTTTGAATTGTTTTCCTTTCTTTAAAGGACTGGTAAAGATATGGGAACATGCAGCCCAAGGTGTTCTGTGAGCGACAGCCTCTGAGACCCAGCCAGCGCATGTTTTGACAAAAGCATTTGATGTGTGTGGGGTAGGGTTAAGTCACACTGATTGGAAGCCATGTCTTGGGACCAGCTTTTGACAGAAGATTTGTTGCTGGCTGGGAAAAGTTGTTGGACACATCTGCTTTTGCTGCAGTTCTGTAAGAGGAGACACCCCTGTGAATTTTAAGCTTTCCTGCTGCTTCTGCTCTTGTTAACGATCTCTTTGTAGGCCTGGCCATTACAAGAACTGTATGCCCATTATAAACGAAGTGCCAGCCTGAATCAGTGTCTGCTATTTGCATTATCCTAGCAAAAAATCAAAAAAACCCTAGCTTTCTTTCTTAGCCCTCTGAGTATAGAGAAGCTGAACAATAGTGTTTTCTGCTGCTTGCTCCTTGCTCAGTTGTCAGATTTTAGTGTAATTCACATTGTTTTCTAAAATATTAATGCTTTCTGTTTCTCTTTGCCTTTCCATAGTTCTTGCTTGTCTCAGCAGACACAACAAAGAAGTTCTTTTGGCACATCATAGCCAAGTACCACAAAGCCTATTTAAAACCTTTTTCTTTTGTAATATCCAGCTAATGTTGCAGGGTGTGTGCTTCCTTTTCAAGTCTAAAAATGACTGATGAATCAGGTCACTTACATAAAGCCTGTAGATAACCCTCTCCCCTGCAAAAAAACCCAACCCAAAACCAGAGAAGAAATCTTTTGTTTTTAAAAGACATCTGCCTCAAAGGGCAGCATTCTTCATACTGTTTTGCCACAGCAACTGCTTGCAGTTCAACTGCAGCATTGCACTTAGGCAGCACTGGAGTTTTTCCAGGTGCACAGAATTGTAGGCAATAGAGTTCAGTATACAGCATAGGCTTACTCGGGCTGGGAGGGGGGTAGGCAGCCACATCTGGTCCAGAAAGATAAGTGCAGTGGAAAATTGGCTTGTTTGGCTGACTAGACCACCCGACCCACTTTTGTTTGCTCAGGAGGTAGTTCCCATAGGATATTTTCAGGGTTTTTTTTTTTTCCTCCATCTTGGAGAAAAGCTTGAGGAGACACAAGGGAGAAAATGGTTCATCTGCCAGTTTGCTGGAAGGAAGAAGATGTAAAAATAAGCTAGAGCCATCAATTAAGAACTGACAGTTCTTACACTTACCAAGAAGTGGTTTATCCACACTTTTACTAGTGGTGCTAAATGGTTATCTTTGCCTACTTCCTCGTAAACGACATCCAACTGATTCTCACTGCAAGCCTTGTTGGCCAGTAACAAGCAACTTTTCCAAAGCAGCCACTGATCTGTTGGGTCTTTCTTCCCACCTGAACCTCACCAGGATTTAAAGGTTCTCTGCCAGGGAAGTAGGCACTCCCCTATACGTGAGAGTGAAAAAGAAAATTTCAGGCCACCTGAGACTATTCTGTGCTCATTTTGGTGAAATACCTTGTAGTTTTGAGCTAGACTTTGAAAATTTCAGTGTTAAATTTTCCTTGTATTCCTCACCTTTCTCTATTTTTTTAATTTGTTTATAATTTCTGTCTGTCTCATATATAATTCCATTTCTTCTCCTTTGTACTTGAAGGAGTAATAGGTTCCTCATGGAATAGAATGCAGGTCTCATCTCTTCCGTAGATTACAGACTTCCAGAGATAAGACATGTTAATGAATCTATAGTCCCGGTGAGCATGAGCACCAGGTTAATAGTGCATGAACACAGTCTCTCAGATTGATTGAAAAGAGTAGGCTGAGTTAGCTGGAACAATTTGAGGTTCTTCTCCTGAGCAGAGTGGTTGCAGATTTGGTTACTGTTCTCACTTTAGTAATAGTCACTCATTCAAGGGCTAATACCTTGTATCTGGTTCAAGTCCTAAAGCCTGATTTCCATCATTCTTGGGAAAATTCCTTAATTCCTGGTGAATGTCTATTAGTGAAGAGGTTATCAGCTGTTGTTAAGAGTCTATCCATGTATAGGGAAGGAGCTAAACTTTTAAGGTCTGATATTAATGATGGCTTTTAGATTCTAAATATCTGTAAAAAATCTTTGTACATCTGGCAGAAGACATTAATTCTTTAAACATAAAATTATGTGCTTTTGTGAATACAGATATGATGGCAAGTTCTGTTGGGTGTTTCTCTAAAAGACATTTTGTCTTAAGCAGCTGTTACTTTTTTATGTGGCTTTTTCACTAAAAAAAAACAGATTCATCCAGCTAATAAATGTTCTCCCATTTCCACAGCACTTCTACCTGACGTGACCTGATTAAAACCAGTCTTCATACAGGATCAGCAATGAGCCAAGTGCACCCTTCGAGAACACCTTCCAGAGAATGGATGGCTCTGTTACCCTATGATTATTTCCAAATTGGTGACCTTCATTTGGCAACCTGTTGTCACTGTAAATTAATCATGGCAGCAAAGTGGTATCTGGGGAGTGTAATAACCACAAGTGACCTTGGTGTAATGACTCTCTCGGGAGAAAGGCTAGCTTTCATTTTCTGTGACCTCAGGTTTGTAACTCTTTTCCTCTGTTAAAAGCAGCATCAAAAGGTGATATGTAAAATGAAACATGAAGCATAATGCCTATGTGGCAACTCAGTTTCTAATTCCTTATACCACCATAGGATCTGATCAAAATCCAGCAACAATCTCCTTTCCCAACAGTAGCCAACACCATGTTGTCTTCTTACTTGTGGTATTAATGTCTAGGAAAAGAGGGGATGGTTAAATTTCATATTTTCTACGATGGGCTTTTGTCATATTCCCTGAAATTCAAAATGCAGCTCCTCATATAGCACAAGGATGCTTATGAGAGGTGACACAGTGGACATGATTAGATATAGCATATTGGCCAGATTTTTGCCACCCTTGCTCTTGTGAACTAGTGTTTGTTACCAGATACTAATCAATATAATGAAAAGAATATTAATGTTTTTTCTTTATGCTACACTGAATGTCCTTGTTCACCAGCCAAGAGGTGATTTTACATCTAAAGCAAGTTACTTTCAATAATATTTTCAATAATATTTTCAGTATTAGTTCATATATATGGCATGGTATTCTATGTATCTTCTGATTTATTACTGTTCTCTCTACTTGAAGAATTAATTGAATTCTGTTATTAAGACTATGACTATACATTGATTCTGTGAATGCATGTGAAATAGAAACTGGACAGTGGTGGAGTGGCTGGGCTGGCTGAAAACACATTTTCAAGTGATGCTTTGAAGCTGTGTTTCCACATCCAGTGAAATGTCTATGTTAATCAAGGAGATTATCAGCAGAGGATACATTTTCTTAGTGGCTCCAGAACATTAATCTGAGAAGACATCATGAAAATAACCAGGCTTCTCATAAGATAAATACTGCAAAAGGAGCATGAAAAACTACATGCAACTCCATAACTCCTAACAAATGTGAAAGTTGTGCCAGACTCTTCAGTGCTGGGGAAGAAGAGAGCTGAAAAGTATCAGCCAGACGTGGTACAGACATTAGCGCTGGTCATAGAAACCAACAGGGGTATTTGCAGGTTAGACTGCTCTTTTGTAGAAAGCATATATCTCTTATTAATGCGTGCATCCTGATGTGACTCATGGCATCCAGCTAGGAAGCCTGGAAATTTTGTTTAACTGCTGCAGCACACTGGCCTGGGGTCATATCTTACAAAGCCCGCCAACAAAAAGAGGTGTAATAGAGGAAGATAAAAACAGGTTTTTATTTCTATCTTCACATTGTTCCTTTGTGATGAGTCCTGTAACAGCCAGACGCTCCTCCTAGCTGTCTTTCTCAGAGTCCCCAGGGGCTTTCCCTGGATCTGAGACTTGTGAACCGAGCAGTGACTCGTGCCTTTGGACAGATTTGTTCATGTGCATGTGAAAGTGGGTTTAAATGGGCTAGCAGCATCCCAAACATCCCTCTATTCTCATCTGTAAAATGAATTCTTTTGAGCATTATGTAGTAAGGCTAGGAAAAAGGGTGTGCATTCAGTGCAAAACCTCCCCCTGTAAAGTGTGCTCCTTATAAAAATGATTAGATTGTGGGGTGGGTGCAGTCTATCTATATATCTGTCCATCCACCCATCCATGCAAATTGTTGCTGTATTTTTATTGAGTTTTTATAAATGTGCTTGTCTCACTCTACCCCCCTCCCCTACCTTTTTTTTTATTTTTTACTTTTTTTTGTTTTCCCCTTGGTTTTGAAGGATTTTTTGTTCTGGATTCATATCTATCATCAGGTAAAAGGAAAATAAAGCTTCCAGTCCCCGAGTGCCAAGAAATATCACTGCTCTCCCAATTCAGTGCTCACCAGACACTCAAACGTCTCCACTCCTCTTGTATCTCCAAAACCAGGCTACCACTGCAGACCTGAAGCCTGACTGCCCCGGAATGGTCCTTGAATCAGCTCCTTCCCCTCCCAGAAGGGATAATCAGATCCTTTCCTTTGTCAGTTGATGAATCCACACTGGGACCTTTGGAGACACCTGCTCACCTGCCAGCTCCAGCACTGCCACAGCCAGAGCCAAAGAAACTTCACAGAAAACTCATCACAAACAAGTGTGGATGACCACAGAATCTCTGATCAAGTAACATAAGGTCAAACCTTCTACAAAAGTAGAAGCATTGCATTTATTCTCTGCTGGGTATTTTTCAGGTTTTTCTTATTTTTTTTCCCCAGCAAGTAGCTCTAAGCTTTGCCAGCCAATCACAAATAGAGCCAAAATTCCAATTTCTGTTTCATCCCAGTATGATATCCCGAGAGTGCAATTGCTTCACAAGCTGTCAGTCCCAACACAGAGATGCCAAATGGAGCTAAAGAGCTCTTTGAAACCTCAGTATAAATTATCCTTCTGGAGCTGAACCAATGCACATTTTCTGTGTTCACACGCTGACACACTGTGCACATTTACCCTGACTCACGCTGCGCACATTTACCCTGGCTTTAATGGCACTTTGACAATACGTAATCTCAGCTACAAGCTGCAAGTGGACAATTGTTCTCCCCATTTCTTTTCCACTCTTACAGAGATTTTTGTGAAATACTCTCAGTTTCATGGTTGCTTCAGGCCAAATGGGGAATTGGACTGAGTGTGGTGGAGAGGCGTCCACCTCACCTTGCCTTGGTGTGGCCGTTCCAGCAGTCCTCCTCAATTGATGGACCGGCGGTCACTTGCTCATCCTTGCAGATTGTGTAGGGTAATGTTGACCAGAACTTTTTGGAGAGCTTTAGCTTTTCTTTAATATCTGTTACCTAATTAAGAGATGAGAGAGAAAACAGATTAAAAACATTAGCCACGTTAATTATCATGTCCAATAGTAGGCTGTTTAATTCCACAATGGTGATGATGTTGAAGTTAAAAGGGCTGAAGGTGCTAAAACTTAGATTCCTGTATTTACAAGCAAGGCACTCAGCATTTGGGTTCAGAGAGTACAAATAATCAAGGTCACCTTTTTCCACAGGCAAGATATTAATAGAAGTGTGTTACATCTTGCTCTTTCTAGTCTCCATTTGTCTAAGGTTTTCTAAATATATATTTTTCTAAGAACTCATATGCCTTGCAGTCTGCTGAATGTAAATTCAGTTAAACAGTGTACATCAGATAAAATGTTTCACCCCCCAACTTGGTCATGTCTTAGATAAATATTATATTTAGAGCTCCATGCACAGGTTCTAAAAAAATGGTGCAGTGCTGAGCTGATGTTGAACTGATTTAAGACACAGGCTGAATACATTGCAGTACATTTGGATCTCAGTAACAGCAGGAAGTTTGTGTATATACATGCATGCAGAGACTATATCCATCTTTGAGGTTAGGAGTAGAGAGATATCTGCAGCTGGATACGGAATCCACATTCAAGAAACATTGGGACAGTATCAAAGCAGTTTCTTTATATCATAAATTCCTTGAACAATAATTTAATTTGTCATGATTCAGGCAGCAAGCAGGAACAAACTGATTTTCGAGCATCAACTTACTAAATAAATGCTCTGGCTAAAATGTTATCAGTTCTTGTTTTGCATTTGGTATACCAGAGTGCAAAACCCTACAAGAATAGATAGAAAACACAAGAAAGGACAGACTACAAAGGATGAATAGTGCCACTGTTGTTCTTATGGAAACAGATGCATTTCACATTAAGTTGTAATAGGATTTAGGGGAGCTTGTTGAATAGCTTTTAAAGGAAATCGCTGAACTTTATTCTTAAAAAAAAAAAACAGAAATAAAAGCTTTCCATTCTTCCATTCAGTTCTGAGACTGGCTTTTAGGTTGTTGAGGCATAATATTGTACTTGGCTGTTTATCTCTTTTATCTTTTGTTCTGAAGACATGATAGCTCTCTGAGCAAATGGCCCACGCTGCTTTGCCATGTTTAAACTCTGTGGAACAGTCACTTTATAACCTAGGAGATAGAAACAGCCAGAGATATTATTTCAGAAGCACTGTCTGCGTTTTCATTTGTAAGAAATAAGTAGGACAGTATTTGGCTGCATGGGCTGTTCACAGTGTTTCTTGTCATGACCGACACCTTATAAATCTCTGTGCCCCTTGCCAAGCCTTTGTTGCTTTGTTTTCATATGAGATACTAGCAGCATTTGCAAGCCTTTAAAGTCTCAGTAGGGGAGCCCTGTCAAGGCAAAAATTAAATTCCAGTTGACAATTCCATGGACAAGCCTTCAGCACAAGTGGGGATGGTCTCAGGATGCCTGCTCTTTCTGATGTCTTTGGTCCACAGGACTAGGGACTTTGGGCAGACAGCAAGCCCTCTTCTTCTCCTTCTGCCCATGCTGAGGGTAAAAACCCCTAGGTCCCTACTGGTACAACCAACCAGCACAAGAAACAAAGTTAATCTGTGTGGTGTTCATGAAGGGGTATGTAAACTCCTGTTATACCAGAAAATCAGAAATTGTGTGTAAGATGTAGGAAGGAGAGTTTACAGGGAGGAAGGTCTATTCATATAAGTTTGGGGAACACAAGAGTCAAAGGGACAGATCTTCTCACTTATTACTTTTGCCTGGCTAACTACACAAGCAATCTGACTGATCAGCGTTGAGCCATTAGTTTTCAGAGCAGTAACTTTGCTGTTAGCTGGCAGTTAATTTAAGCTATTCAAAACTCAGATGTTCAGAGTTATATTCAGATTTCTACCATAATCAAATCAAGAATTGGTGCTTTAGGACCTGCAGACTTCTGTTTTGAACCACAGTGAGTTAACATACGTTGGAAAATGATTTTCCCCCTGGCCCTTGTAAGGGCTGCAATATGAAGTACAAACCTTGTATTTTCATAGAGGTCAGCAAAAGAATGGAGGTTCTCACAGCTCACATGCTGCACATGGTCTCCAGGTACTCCCTGAAAATCAGAATGAAGTCTCCCATTCCCCCGTCACTTCTGAAGTTATTAAATGATGTTTACATACTCTGCATGTGTACTGCATACAGACAACAATTCATTAAATTTCCTAACAATAACTATGGGTTTTTTTGTTTGTTGTTGTATTACAGAAGTACACCTGGTAAAGGTCTTACTTTATCCAGGATTGTTGGTAAAAGACAGCTAATTAAATTCCACAGACATCCCCCTGAGGTGTCATTTCCATTTTAGAGCCTGGGGGAAAGGGAGACATTTACATGAGTCACAAAATGCAGCAATAGCAAAAGTGAATGCAGTTTAGGGAAAGGTTACCATTTGCAGCCCTCTATATATCCTGCCAATTCTGGTGCATTCTAACACTTTTTTTCCCTCAAATGTTTCCCTTCACAGCTATTCCCATCTCCCCACTCCATTATTTCCCCACTGAGCTTTAAACAACTTGTGGACTCATCCTGTGAAGTCTTGCTCTTTCCCAGTGTGTGACTGGATCTCTGTTAACCCTCTCAGCTTTTGGTAGTGGAGTTTACACATCTACCTACACAGTTCCTTGAACTTCACCTTGAAACTGGTGTTCTGGAAGTGCAGTGTGGTTTCTGATGGCCTTGAAAGAGGAATTACGTGCACTGATTGCTTCACCTTCTCTTTCAGGATGTAGCCTGATGGCCACGTTCACTTCTGCATGATAAATGTATGGGCAGGCAATGACTTTGGAGTACTTCTAATGCAACTTTAGATGCAGAATAGAATTAGGCAATGTAATGCCTGCCATCACATGTAAAACTTTTCCCTGTGGGTTTTGGTGGCTTCAGTTTGGGATGTCCTCAAGCATGACCACAGAAAGTCTCTTATTAGTCCCCATGGTTATACATGTTCCTTTACGTATCACTTTGCTCACCACCAGCACTTAAAAAATATGTAACAGATGTACAGTCCCTCGAAAATGAGATAAAAGCCACTAAAGGATTCTGTTAACATTGCTTGCTTGTGATTTATGATGTCAGGCTACTGTATTCCCCTAGTGACCTGTGGCCTTGTAAATGATTCCTTGGTATTTCATATTCTTTGAATTAAAGATTAACTTTCAAGCTCAGTTAGACTTCTGTGGAAGCATTCAAACATGACACATACGCAATTTTGACATTTTACATATTTTCTTTCCACTTTCTCTATCAGAGATTTATTTGGATTAAGACAGCTGGATTTCTCGGCCTGTACTTAGCCTGACTTTCCTTAGTTATCTTCCTGAAATAGCCCTGATATTATACTGAACTCTTTTTTCAGCTACTTTGAAAGTACTAAATTTGTTTTGCATTGCAATACTTTCTAATGAGAAGAAGGATATAGCAAGAGCCATGCAGAGTTAAATTTTTAATTTAATGGGGGGAATATATAGAAATGGATATTAGAATACCCTGGCCTTCATCTAGAATTGCTAACAGAGGAAAGCTATTATTGTGTAGGTGAGAAAAGTTAAATATTTGCATCATTTCCAAAGAGAAATTCATAGCCAGAGTTACGGAAATTGTATAGTTACGTGTCATACATAGAGAAATTCAGTTAATTTCTTATTCCGGACACTGACTTCTAATGAGGCCAAGTCAGTCATGTATGTCATGCAATTCCTCAGCAGAACTTGGCACAGCACCCATGAACTCAGTTCTAGTCCTAACAGCATGGGAACGGTTTTAAGCAGGTAAATAAAGCTGACCAACATTTCTGTGTTATTTACTCACCTTGCATTCCAAAGTAATGAAGCAAGCTAAAAAGCAAGCCCATCATTTTAGCAGGAATCAGACCTTAGCATTACTTGTTTTATATTCAGGACATCTGGATAAATGGAAAGACTCACCAGGATAGTTTAAAAAAGCATTGAAAATACCACTCAAAACTAAAAGTGAGATGACTTCATTTTATAAGGCATGGAAGATCCCAGAAAGACACTTGCTTGTGAAGCTGGCAGCCGAATTTTTTTAGGGCCCCCACCTTTAAAATTTGCTTTTTTTTGCCCCCATTGTTTCTGAGCACACATTATCCTGCTGCTGAAGAAGTGTGTTTCCACTGGAAACTAAACTTCAGTGTCATGTATTCTTTTGCCCTTTAAGTCACAAGGCAACATTTAACTAATGCTACTTCTTCATGCTACATTATTTCCAGGTGAAAAAACAGGCAGTTTTCTACTGCCTGCTGCTTGCTTTCCTCTAGACATGTCTAACATACCCAGCCACATACCCAACACCCTTGCAGTCTTTATTAAAATGATGTAGACCTTGTATAGATGGGCATCTGGATAGCACATCTAAGGATACGGTGCTTCATCACTTGAGCTACCAGTGGGATCATGAAGAGCATGCTGGGGCATGGCTAGGGAGGGAGATTTTTGTTATGCTGTACTAGCAGAAAATTGTGCTGGACTTTCATACATCAGTATTTATGTCCATTAGGGATTTAATCCAAAAGCATTCTAAGGCTAATGGCCAACAATTTGTTTAAAAGGACTAAGTCAGCAAGCATATTTTATATACTGTTTCTAACTGGTCATTATGTTTATGCCTCTGCTCCACATGGGTGTCATAGGGCAAGAATCATATGTCCCAAGCAGGTTAGTATAGGACAGTTGGGCGTTTTAATTGCCAAACAGTTTTCCTTATAAACTGAGCTTAATAAATTACTTGGACCTCTAAGTTCTAGTGGCTGCCCCTTGAGAAAGATGCATCTCCTGTATGTCCTGTTTTACATCTGCCATCTTTATACAGATGTCTCAGAGGGACTAGGCACTTATGTATAAACAGCTGAACTGGGCTTCCTCTGTATCACCCAGGTATTTGAATGTAGATAAGGAGGACCTCTCTCTTCGAGCTTTTTTAAAAGGCACCTTCATT